GCCACAATATTTTTGCATAGAACTCACTCCAAAATTTACGGAAAAGTCCATATTTCTAGCGATGCTACAAGAACCCAAATCATTTTACAAATAGCCGAACCTTACCCCGACTTCTACATGATTATTTATCCATTAAAAGTATCAAAAGGATATACAAGCATCCCCAAAATATGACAAACCCTGGGTTATATCAACAGTTTCTTCCATCGACGCAGAAGCACTAACACCATAGTAAGGTTCCAAAAAGATATTCAAACTAGTTTTTAACCGACTTCAAAAAAAGAGGAGGTTATCAATTCGTCGGAATATATATTTTTTTTAGGTATGTTACCGGATAACTTTAGATCCCTCTCTTCCACTAGCAATCAGAATTGAATTCAATACTTGAACCGTGTAAAACACGGAAATGGGTAAAAAAAACAGTGATGTGTAAGCAAATCAATGTTGCCAAATTCCCATTTTCAAAAATAAAATAAATGCAGTAGTACATATAATATACTTAAACAATCAGGCCAGTTCTGTCAAAAACTCCCTGGGAGTTTTCTCTCTTTTCCCTTTCCTCCTATCAAGAATAAAAATTCCCTGAGGATTTTTTATATTAAATGGCGCAGTTAAGCTGTCAAAAAAGTGTCAAACGGCTCTTGCGGAGTTCGAATTTTCTGCTCCCGAACTTTCGGGAAAATACTACTCCCTGGGAGTTAATTATTGAAGGATTTCTTTCTCGGGAGAAACAAATTCCCGGAGAACATACTCCCTGAGAGTATTCAGAATTAGACTGAATATGTATATTTCCTCAAAGAAAGAATATCGATAGTGGCCAACGACCATTCGATAGTGCAAAAAAAGACTATTGACTATAATATGTAGCATCACGTAGGTGCAATGAAATTTTTAGGTAAAAATGTTGTTGGCATTAGGAAAAAGTGTGGGATTCGACACTTTGTAAAGCCAGTATCCTCTCCTTCTAAGAAGACTCGAAATTGGACGATTTGCCAATTTGCGTATCATTCTAAATCACTGATGGGCACTACCTTGCCCGCGGGTAAAGCTATTTTAAGCTTTCTATACATTTTGTATAGGCGAGAGCAGAGTAAAAGCTCTCTCTGCCCTTGTGTATAGGCGAGAGCAGAGTAAAAGCTCTCTCTGCCCATCGCTGTTCTAAATACATGCACAAGGTATCGTAATTGAAAAAGCATTTTCGCACATTAGCGACGATATTACTAAAATTTTTTTCTGGCCTTCATGGCCTCATATGTAAAATTAATTTGTTTAGTTTTCTTTTAATAACACTTTTTATATATTTTTACATATTTTTTACAGTTTATTGTAAAAAGTTACTTGGTCACTTTTTTTTGTAAATTCTGGTCAAAAAAAATTTTGTCGTGTGGCAACCGTGCTCATAAGATCTTTGCGGTCAGTATCGATTATTCATAAACATTAAATGCATTAATATTTAAAGTTTACTAAATAAAGCCGCCAGAATTTATTCGCATATCTGTGAGCATTTGATAAAACATCTCTTGGCTTAGCTTATAAAAGTACCAGGGATTGAAAAGTATGCAAAGCTGGGCTGTTTTCAGCACTTTTGCATTTTAGACACAATAGGTTCGTTGTGGCACTGCTTGATTGTTGGCAGGAGTGATTCTGCGTTCGATGTCGATGCTGACATTATTATCAGTGTTCCCAAGTAAACGAAATTCTCTACCTTTTCGAAATTGTAACTGTCAATACTGACTGTTTGTTTGATAACAGGAGATACTTCCTGTTGTTAAAACCCCCCTACTGGAGGGAAATATGCATACAAATTTAGTTTAGGATAATAATGGTAAAAACTAGTTTAATATCTCTGTAAAACTTGTTTATTGAGGTAGCCTAATAGTGAATGGTGTTTTTCCTTGCAATTAAGGGAAGGCTATTGGGGACCACCTATGTAAAAAAACGAGTCATTTAAAATAGCGATTCAAGCAAAAATGTACTCTGTGAAGGGAAACCAACAAATATATTTAAAACAAAAATGAATTCAAATATTGTGTTTGAGAAGACCCCTATATATATAAAATTATATATGTGACCTGGTCTACGAAAAGGGAGCTTACGTGCGAAAACTAGTTTTCTGTGAAAAAGCTGTTAAAAGTAAGCAACTCGTTTTGTTTACTCGTTTTTACTCTTCTTTCTCTACATTTTTAGTACACTTCTAAGCAAGTTAGGATTTTCTGCTTTTCACCACGTGAAAAAGCATCTCATCTTCCATCCGAATCAACCAAAAAGTGAAAATTGATTTTTTGACACCTAAGCCCCCTTTCCGTAGACCAGGTCACATATATAAAATATTATATATAAAATTACACCAGCGAGTATTGTGTCTTATTTGTATTTTCGAGCAGTCTACTATTGGTGCTAATAATTTTATAATTTTTTTATTATTTTTATAATTTTCTGGAATCATGGTATGGATTGTCAGATAGTGAAAATCCATACGCGAGTCGAATATATTCTGAATTGATTACATTAGAAGCTTTTCTTTTTTTGTGATCCAGAATTCCCTTCGCTTCTCTATTTAGTTACGGTTTGGCAAAATAATTCAATAAATATCATCAAAGAACGAGCTTAAAAACAACAGCAAACGTTTCGGTATTGTTTAATTTCGCTCATACAAGGTAACGACACACAACAGATTCAAATCACTTGGAAGCATTTTGAAGAGTATTGGCGAATCGCGATTTACATATCGTACCTAGATCTTTTAATTACGCATTTGCAAGATCGATTTCTAAATATTTTGTCTAATTTTGCTTGCCTCTTTCTTGACAATGAATTATCTTTTTGTGATCTGTTTGAGAAATATATCTCCATTTCACATGATTCGGCGCCAGATATATAGAAAAGTTAAGTTTAACTTAGGAGAAAACGCATCACTGGTATAAATATTTAAAATTCATTTGAAGCTTTGGATATTTATAGCTCTGATGCTTTTCCGAATGCTCATCAAGTACTTAAAGTCGTAGCTGTTTTACCTTATACGAACGAAATAACGTTTTCAACTTTGCGCCGCCTAGAAACTTATTTGAGATCAACTATGAGAGAAGATCGTCTCAATGTGTTAGCTTTTCTCAATATTCATCGCAATCTGGATGCTAATGTTGACACAGCATTAAAATAACTTGTATCTGTACCTCGGCGAATTGCATTATTGAAAGCATAATAATTTAGTAAATTACGCATCATGAGACTTTTCTTTGAGCTGTGGTAAATTACATATATCCATAATTAAATACAATATGCTGAATACTGTAAATAAAACAATGATATTCTTGGTTGTTGCGAATGACTTTACATAAACCATATATACATACATACACATACTTAGTTATGAATTTATGTATAATATAAATGAATAAATAATAAAATTAAATTATAAATTGTATTTCAACTAGGAATCTTTCTCTACCTTCACTGCGCTAATAACATCATTATTTCTTTGCCATTTATGACATGTGTATGTACATATGTGCATACATACATATGTACATGACCTCTTCTTCAGCACTTTGCACATTTTCCCAGTCGCCCATTCGCATACTTATAGGTGTTTCGAAGGCGTTTTTAGGCGTTCACATCCATTTGAGGTAATCAACAATTAGATTAGTTTATCTAAAAAACCTACAATTGGACACCCTCTGGAAAAAAGGCATTTGGCATCAATGACAACTCCAATCAACTTAGTCAATTCAAAATAGTGGGGCGTAAAGTATGTACATAAACACAACTTGCAACTCGAAAATATGAACACGAATTGAGATTTGAACCTTTCTATGTGACTGCTCGTCTAGACCAACACCGATATCTACCGACAAAAACAACTAACTCTAATCATATTGCTATTCTAAAAATTGCCATTACCTCCATTTGCCATTATACTGTATCTCAACCGCCTCTTCAACACCTATGTATGTATCTATCGACCTCCAAAGCACCAGAAAAGTGTATCGCGTGGACAGATGCGCGGACGAAAGTCAAGCACGAGAAGAACGCCAAATACCCCATTTAAACTTTGAACGCGATGTTCTTTTCACAAAAAATCACGTGTCAAGGCGCAATTTAGCCACAAAGTCTTGATTGCTGTTTGAATTTTTCCAGTTTTCCAACTACATATCATCAATGGACGTAAAACACTACAATACAGTGCGACTGCAACAAAATCGTAAGTACACCTTAAATGCGGCTGAATAAGCAGACGGCAAGTCACTCGTTCAGAGGCTTGTTTCTGCGTTGCCTTCCAGCGGCGGAGTCGCTCGTGCGCGGCTGATAATGTCGATTTTTTAAGCCTTTATTATTGTGCTTGATACAGCATAAGAAGCGGCTAAGACGCGTTGACTGTAATGAGGGGGCGTGCAATGTGGCAAAGTTGTTAGACGATTTTCTTTTGATTTATTTATTCTTTTTCATAAATGTGCATTGGTACAAAAGTATACCTCGAAAAAATTACTTTTTAGCGCAGTATTATATTGTACCCTATATTGGCTTTTTAGCAGGGGGTGGAAAGCATATGCGGAAAGAATATGACAATACTAAGCACGTGAATAACAATAAATAGAATATATAGAAAAGTTATAGACAAGAGATTGAACTTAAAGAAGCAACATAAATGCTTGTGAAATGTGTGGCAGTCAGTCAATATGACAGACAGACAAGGTTATAATGTATACACTCAGTCGCTACGCCCTGCAAACGCTGGGAAAGGTGACAAATGTTGCTTTGTCTGAATGCTCTCGGGGGTTACCTCACTAAGTTTACATATGTATATGGGTCATATATTTACATACATATGTATGTATCTAACTTAAAGCATACAAGGACTATGATACGAAAATATTTTAACTAAGTTTACTTCTCATGCGTTCTTTAAATTATATTTTTTATTAAGAATTTATTCTATCTTTATGCCTAACGCAACATTAACATCACTCTCATGTTTTTCTTTAATCTCGCTCTCTTTAAAGGTACTGTAAATGCCAACGGTGAGACGAAACGACAACGGACCTCATACACCCGCTACCAGACGTTAGAATTAGAGAAAGAATTCCATTTTAATCGTTACCTGACCCGCCGAAGACGCATCGAAATTGCGCACGCACTCTGCCTCACCGAACGACAGATCAAAATCTGGTTCCAAAATCGACGAATGAAATGGAAAAAGGAGCACAAAATGGCTTCCATGAATATCGTACCCTATCACATGGGCCCCTACGGTCATCCATATCATCAATTCGATATCCACCCGTCACAATTTGCTCACCTGAGTGCATAGGACGCGTGGCACTTTTCGGGTACTGGTTAGAGACTCAATCAGTTGTATCAGGAACCATATCAGGCGGCGGCAGCGGCTAGTGTAGCAGCCGGCGGCTATCAGACACAGAACGCACAAGACGCCGGCATGCCGCTGGGCGGTGGTGCCGGTGTAGGTGTTGGTGTGGGAGTCGGTGCGGGCGGCGGAAATTCGCTGTTCGCTTCCGCGACCGCCTCCAACGCTGAATGTGTCAAATATCCGCAAGAGTTCTGATCTCAAGTTATCTTCAGGGAACATCAACAGCAATTGCAACACCAACAGGAGCATCAGCTACATCTACAACAAGAACAATACCAACAACCACAACATCTACAACAACACCTGCCAAACCATCAAAGCCATCTTGGTTTCCAGTTAGAACGTATTTCGGAGTTGCCACTCTGTCAAGAGAAGGATTTGTGTGAAGACACAGAGGCGACTGAACTGGAGCTCAAGAATGAAATCGTTAGTGGTTGTAACATGTTTTGTTGCTGAGAGATGCTGATGTTGCTGTTGCGATGAAGCTGTAGATGCTTCATACGCTGCTGCTAGCTGCTAGCGACAGCTAACAAAATGAACAACGATGATAATTTCTGAATGCAACTGATTTGTGTTAAGCAAGCAACGAGCCTTCAAGTAAATGCGTTTAGTACTCCTGTGGAGGGTTTGTGTCTATCGCCTACTCTTCCGGGAGAGGCTCGTGCAGGTTTATGATACTGGTCAGTAAGGAGGAATTTCAACAAAATTTTCGATTGCTTTGGAATCTCGTAAATTCGTCGAATTTACATTGAAAATCCTCTATATATATGTGTATATATGTACCTTAAAAGAAATGAGGGATTCAAATTGGAGCGCCTCCGTTTCGTCCTCTTTTTCGTGGAAATACGAAAACCGTCCAGTATGATAAACCGCTATATTCTCTAAGCAGTATTCGAAAAGCCATTAGATGTAAGAAAACACATAGCGCTATCATCAGCTCACAAGCTTGGAAAGTTCAATGAAATTAAAATCCTAATAGTGATATTATTGTATACGAAATTTTTGAACTTTTTTAATGTCCATTTACCTTCATATTTAGATTGTGTAAATTTTAATTTAATTGATTTAAATTACTTACAATTTGAAAAGACAATGAAGGTAGGCTTGTTGCCGATAGTAGCGCCGCGTTAGTATAATTGTCAAACTGTAGGCAAGTAATTTAAGGTTTGTGGCTGCACTTAACCTGCAGCTCTCAAACGAAACCTCTTACACAGCGCATCTCAAACTGTTTACGATTTTTGTTCATGATGTGCCTGGTGCCGCTAAAACTGTCGATTTGCCAATCGGTTTGGGAACGAAATACCCTACCGGAATCGGTTAGGGACCAAAATCCACAACCGGATGTGACACCATTGTCAACATTGATAGAGAACTTGGAAAACTTGAACATAGCCAAATGCTGTTTGCGAGCGAATCGTGGTGACTGTACTTAATTTGGTTTATTGGTTAAATATGTACGTTTCAAAATAAGTATTAAAATGAATTTCGCACTTTCACTCAAAAATATGTGTATATAGTATATTCGTATTAGAAATATCTGTTCAACTTTTAAATTGGTTAATATCTAAGTAGCTTTAATTTGTTTTTATTGTCGTTGAATTTTTTAGAACCTCCGCACTAGGAAAATTCGCAGTTGGACTTAATAAGCACGTGATTTTAGAAATCTTTTAAGAGTAAAAATTTTTAACAAAAAAGTAAAACAAATTCGGGGAAAACAGGGCATTTCGTTAGCACACAGTCATAAATAATTTAAGAAAAAAAATAATATTGGTTTCTCACGCTTCAAATTACAAGACTAAATGTGTTCTACACTATTTTCAACAATGTTTTATTTAAAACATTGTATGTATGTACGTACATAGATGTGTTTGTATGTACATATCTATGTATGTATGTATAATTCTTATCGGTAGCATAATTTTCAAGTGTATTGATACTGACAACAACAATTTTTAGTAAACATTTTTATCAATAAACCCCTTTTGAACACAACTTTGATTATATATAACAGCAGAGGTATAATTTGTGCGTGTACAAGGATTACATATAGGAACATGAATCAAATTACAATTGAGAAAAATGCGATTATGAAATTGCAAACCCCTAAGATTAGTTTTGATTAATTTGCTTACACATCTGAACCTTTTCAGAAATGCATATATGTATAAAGACTTGGTGTGTATGTATCTAAGCAGGCTGCTATTTTTATTCCCTGTTAATGCTAAGGTTAGTGCATTCGTATCAATGTAGGTTAACAAAATCTACATAAACTAAACAAAAACTTAAATTAGTTCAAAAATAATAAAAATCAAATATAACGTGAATCATTTTAGCAGAATTTGTTTTAATACGATTTTTCACCTGTACGTTTTTCTTTTTGTATCAATTGAGTTTAGTAATACGCAACTGTTTATTTTCATAAGTAATTTGCAATATCAGTATAAATACATAATGATTAAAAGTTTGATTAAGTATGAAATATGAGGTAGGTCTTAGTAAATGTAAGTCTTAGTATTACCTACTCTACTGGCATATGTATGTATGATATCTGAGGTAGGTCTTAGTAAACGTAGGCCTTGGTACGAGCTACTCTACTTATAAATACATTTGTATATGTATGTAAGGATACTGCATTCCATGTAAAGAAAATAAATGTTATAGTAAAGGAATACAACTTATTCAAAAACAACATTAAAATTTTACTAACCCGTGAAGTATTGAAACAATTTCAGTAGAAAATACGAAATTAGCAATGCAACTTTAATTTGTATGTATGTATGTATAGAAAGAAGTAAATTGAATAAGTTGCACTACGCGCAATATGCATAAATTAATGCATATAAGATGTAGTAATATAAGATTATTCTAATGCTATAGATAACTAAAATCAGCATAGGTTAAAAAATCAAAAGAACAAAGCTAATAAAATATTTTAAAAAATGTAAAATACCTTACATTGCTTTTTAATTCAGTAATATGCAATATTGCGGTTAGCTGAAGGGCTTGGCCGGGCGAAAGTCCCATTAGCCACGTAACGGTTTATGTGCACGGGTTGCTCGGTCGGTAAAGCATTGAACCTTTAATCCAGGGTCCAGGATTCAAGTCCCTCCTCTTGCGTCCAAAACTTTTGTTTTAAAGGCAGAAAATATACGGATTTATGTTGTATGTATGTATATACATATGTATGTGTGTACATACATAAGGAGGCACCAAAAATTCATTTGGGTAAAGTAAAGTCGGAATTATAATGTTCTCACCCTCTAGTTCTCGATGATAGCGTGAGGTTTATCGACTTTGCCGGGACCCGCAGCGTGGTAATATGCAATACTAAGTTCCAGCATAAAAAATCCATCAAGCTACGTTGCTGTCTCCAGATTGAACTACGAAAAACCAAATCGATCATGTTGTGATAGACGGTATTTTAGAAGTACATACGTACATATACATATATGATCCGAAAATCAAATATCGACTCGTATCAATATCCTCTAGCAGACCGAAGGACACGGAGACTCGAACAATCATTCCATTATATGTCACGTTTATCTTATATGAATATTAGGTGAATTTTTTTTTTTGTAAGAGAACGGCAAAAGACCGCTCAACTCGGGTAA